GGCGAGGAGAGGAGGAGGCGAGGAGGAGGATCGGCGACGAGGAGGAGGAGGAGGAGAGGGCGAGGAGAGGAGGAGGAGGGGGCGAGGAGGATGAGGAGGAGGGCGAGGAGGAGGGCAGGAGGAGGGAGGGGCGGAGGGCTGAGGAGGAGGAGGCGAGGGCGGAGGCAGGAGGAGGAAGGCGAGGAGGAGGAGATAATAGGCGGAGGTAGGAGAAGAGGAGCGGGCGAGGCGAGGAAGATGGGCGAGCGAGGAAGTGGGAGGAGAGGAGGAGGAGGAATGGGAGGAGTGAGGCGGAGGAGGACCGGAGCGAGAGGCAGGGGCAGCGGGAGAGGGAGTGAGGGAGAGGTCGAAGGGAAGGGCGAGGGAGAGAGGAGGAGGCTGAGGAGGCAGGATGGGCGAGCGAGGAGGAGGAGCGAGAGGAGGCGAGGAGGTAGGAGGAGGAGGGGGCGAGGTCTCTAGGCAGAGGAGTGAGAGGAGGAGAACGGTGATGGATAGAGAGTTAAGCGGGATGGTGGGTAGCCGTGATGGAGAAGATCTGCGGTAGATGAATAAGATGAATGGAGCATGATCGGGTAGGAAGAATGACAGAAATGGAGTAAAAGCGGGTGTGTAGGGTGCGTAGGCAGATATATGGATTGATGGAACGGCGGAGATAGTAATGCAGCCAAAAAAATGGATGAATGTCAGTGCGTGCGTGATGACGATGCATGTTTATGAGGTTGATGAGACAATAACCAGGCAAAAAAAATATTTGATGCTAATGGCTCGTGATTGATTGAAGACAGATGATGGCCATATGACAGAATGAAGACAACGGCTATGGTGACAATCCATGATCAATCCAACGACCACCATAACCAGAACACAACACAAACACCACCATAACTAATAACAGTTGTACATTATCAGCAATCGCGCAAGAACGATCCACCACCACCATAACCAAACACAAATAAACACCACCATAACTAATACCAGTTTACGGCCGCCCTCAGCCACACCACCCCAGCGAAGGAGCGAGAGAGGCAGTGTCTTGAGGAAGTCCTGGACGTGCAATTCTTTCTCTCCGGGCTTCCGTTCTGCTTTCAATTAGCGTAATAAAGTTGCATGGCGATTTTTGCAAGCAGAGGAACAATTGCAAGACGTGATTCGCGAATTCTGTGCTTGGGTTGGGCGGGTTGTGTGCGTTTTGCGTATGTGTGTGTGTGTGCTTGTGAGTGTTTGTGTTTGCGTGGGTGTGTGGACGTACATGCTGTGTATACGTGTCGGTAGGTAATATTTGCGTGTATGTCTGTATGAATGTACGCGTCTGTAAGCCTGTCTCTGTGTGAGTGAGTGTGTGCGCGCATGTATACACACACGTATGTACATATGGATCAATGTACATCGGCGCATCACATCATCACTTCAATGAGTAAATAACAATACCACTAACTACCCGAACCCACGGATCCCTCTAATCGCGCCCACACATAACGCTATTACCAATAATACCACCCCCCCCGGTCGCCCTCCCTCGCCCGAATCCGCCACAGCCCACGCCCCCCCCCCTCGCCCGAATCCCGCCCACGCCCACGCCCCCCCCCCTCGCCCGAATCCCGCCAACGCCCACGCCCCCCCTCGCCCGCAATTCCCGCCCACGCCCATCGGACCCCCCCGCCTCCGAAAGCCCTTCCCGGCCGGACGAATAGGCTTTGGGGGGGGGTAGGGGGGGGGCGATAATTAAAATTCCCTATTTAATGAAAGGCTCAGCCGGATTAGGCATAGGAACGCCCTTACCCCTTACCCTTCTCCTACCCTCTGGCCCTTCGCTTCCCTCCTCTCCCCCTTTTACCTTCACGCCCTATACCTTCCCTTGCTCCTACCGCACCCCCCCCCGTTCCTCTCTTCTCCCTCTTACCCTTACCCCTTTCCATCCCCCTCTCTCCCCCTCCCTTACTTTGCCCTTTTCCCTTCCTCCTTTCTCCCCTTACCCTACCCTTATCCCCTTCTTACCCCCTTTTCCCCTTCCTCCCCTCCCCTTTCCTACCCTACCTCTCTCCCCCCTCCCTCCTTACCCCCCTTCCCCTTTTTCCTTACCCTACCCTTCCCCTCCCCTCCTTCTCCCCCTCTCACCCCTCCCTTCCCTTTCCACCTCCCTCTCTCCCCTCTCCCCCCCTCCCCCTTCCCCCCACGCCCGAAATTACGACAAGAGAATGCTTTGGCTCTCTTTCGGGGGTTTTGTTCTCGCTCTCGGGTTCTTCACATTAGGGAAAAGTCGGCCCAAGAACAAGGCGCTTTCCACTCTCGCACTCCCCCCCTCCACTTCCTTCCCTCCCCTTCCCCTCTTCCCTGCCTTCCCGTCCCACCCTCCCCTTCCCCTCCTTCCCGCCCCCTCCTCACCCCACCCCCTTTCCCCTTTCTTTCTCCGCCTTCCTGCACCCCACCCCCTCCCCTCTTCCTGCCTTCCTCACCCACCCCCTTCCCTCCTTTCCGACCTTCCTCACACCACCCCCTTCCCCTTCCCGCCTACTTTCACCCCACCCCCTTCCCCTCTTCCGTCCTTCCTCACACACCCTTCCAACTTTAACCCCTTCCTCACCCCACCCCCTTCCCCTCTTTCCCCCCCCTCACCCCACCCCTTTCCCCACTTCCTCCACCCCACCCTCCCTCCCTTCCCGCCCTTCCTCTCCCCTCTCCCTCACCCCCCCCTCCCCCTCCTCTCCCCTTCTCCCTCCACCCTCACCCGCCTTTGCTTCCAACGAGCAGGAGGTCAAGGAACAATGGCGTGATGTAAATTTAGAACTTTCCTTTCCCCGCCGCCTTCGTAACCCGCCTTCTCCCTCGCCCCTCTTTCTCCTCTTTTTCCCCTCTTCCTCTCTTCGTCACCTTCGTTCTCTTTGTTATATTCTTTTTCTCCCATCGCTATCTCTCGCTCCATCATCTCACTCTCTTTCTCCATCTTCGTATCTCCCTCATTCCATCGTCCTTATCCTCTCCTCTCTTTCTCTTCTCCTTCTCCCTCATTCCATTACCTTCAACTTCCCACTCTTTCTTCTTCTTCCTATCTCCCTCTCTCCATCATCCTTTATCCTCTCCTTCTCCTACTCCATTTCTCCATCATTACCATCTCTTTCATCCTTCTCTATTTCTCCTCTCCCATCCTCACATTCTCTCTCTCTCATCATCACCTCATCCTCACACTCACTTTTCTACCTCTCTTCTTCTCTCTCTTCACATCATTCTCTTCATCATCTCTCTCTCTCTTATCTTCATCACCCTCATCCTCACACTCACTTATCTCCTCATCTCACTTTCTCTTTCTCCCTCTCTTCTCTCTTTCATCACATCACCCATCCTCACACTCACTTTCTTCCTTCTCCCTCTCTCTCTCTCTTCATCACCCCCATCCTCACACTCACTTTCTCCTTCTCCCTTCCCACCCCCCTCATCCTTCCCCCCCCCCCCTTCACTCCCTTGAGGTCAATACCATTACGAGTTCAGAGACCAGATAGATGTGAAAATTACACAGTTTTCTTAATTAACGCCACGGACCGGCAAGGGACAAAGAGGAGGGAGGGAGGGAGTGTACCAGGGAAGGGGAAGAGGGGAGGAGGGAGGAGGGTACGAGGAGAAGGAGGGGTAGGAGGGAAGAGGATGGAGGAGGTGGCAGGTACGAGGAAGGGGGGAGGAGGGGTAGGAGGAAGAGGAGGAGGCTTGGGGAGTGGGGAGTGTGGGGAGATGGGGGGGAGGGTGGTATAGAGGAGTCGGCCCTGTTAAACTCGGAAATTCTCGGCTTCGTTTCGGGAGACACCGGGACGCGCGAGCTTGCATTCCCGCGAACTTTTATTTTCGGGAAGAATTCCGTTTTATCGAGGGAGGAAGACCCGGCCGAGGGGGGGGGGGGAAGAGGAGGTTATAATGCGTCACGGGAAGGGCGTTGGAGGCAATAGAACCCGAGAGGAGAACTGTAAATCTAATTATAACGACACGAGAAACTTCGCGGCCTTCCGAAAATAAACAAGCTCCCATGCCGAGAACAGCTCAAGGCGCTTCTAAATACGCCTTTCGAGAATAGCACTTTAAGCGAGGCGAAGCTATCGGGACGAGAGGAGGAGGAGGAGGAGGAGGAGAGAAGGAGAGATAGGAGAGATAGAGAGAGAGAGAGAGAGAGAGAGAGAGAGAGAGAGGAGAGAGAGAGAGAGGAGAGGGAGAAGGAGAGGGAGAGAGAGAGAGGGAGAGAGAGAGGAGAGAGAGAGAGAGAGAGGAGAGAGAGAGAGAGAGAGAGAGAGAGAGAGAGAGAGAGGAGAGAGAGAGAGAGAGAGAGAGAGAGAGAGAGAGAGAGAGAGAGAAGAGAGACCAGAGAGAGAGAGACAGACAGAGAGAGAGAGAGAGAGAGACAGAGAAGAGAGACGAGAGAGAGAGAGAGAGAGAAAGACAACAGACCAGAGAGAGAAGAAAGAGAAAAGAGAAAGAGAGAGAGAGAAATAGAAAGGAGACCACACAGAGAGAGATAATGTATCCCAATGTATCTTGCAAATACTGTACATCAAAGACCAAATGACACGGAACGCACAAGCAACTGCATTACATACTCATTTCAAGTTTCAAAGTGAATGAAAATCCTCTGAAACCTAACCTCCAGCTAAATCATTCTTTTCTTTTCTTTTTTCTTTCTTTCACAAGATCAACTTATCACGTTGATTCTCACTGATCTAAATTATTAATTATACTTTTGCATTACTATTATACATTGTATATTGCACGTCCAACACATCATACATTTTATTATGATGTTCGTTAGATAAATAAATGTTATCATGTTCGTTAGATAAATAAATGTTATCATGTTCGTTAGATAAATAAATGTTTATCAATGTTCGTTAGATAAATAATGTTATCATGTTCGTTAGATAAATATTATCATGTTCGTTAGATAAACGTTTAATAATAACAAAACGAAACCAAAAAAGACACGCACGGGGGGGAAAAAGAAGAAAGGTCAACAGAAAACGGAAAGGTCAAGGCAACGAGGTCACTTCCAGGTCGCGCGCCATCGGGATCCCGAAGCGCCGACTCCCGACGCCGAGCCCGACGCCGACCCGACTCCCGACTCCTGACGCCGACGCCGACGCCGCCGACTCCCGACCGACTCCCGACTCCCGACTCCCGACGCCGACGCCGACGCCGACGGCCGACTCCGGACTGACGCCGACTCCCGACGCCGACTTCCCGACTCCCGACGCCGACTCCCGAACGCGACTCCCGATGACGCCGACTCCCGCGACGCCGACTCCCGACTCCGCCCGACGCCGACTCCCGACTCCGACTCCGACTCCCGACTCCGACGCCGACTCCCGAACTTCGCGCCGACTGACTCCCGACCCGACTCCCGCCGACTCCCGACTCCCGACTTCCCGACCCGACGCCGACTCCCGACGCCGACGCCGACTCCCGACTCCCCGACGCCGACGAGCCCTTCGCATACGGGTGCTTCGTCGGCGCCCGTGAAGAGATGGGAGGACGGGCGTTCGGGCAGCGCTATCTCCTCCTCCTCCTCCTCTCGCTGGGGTCTCCTGGGGGTCCCTCCTGGGGTCTCCTGGGGTCCTCCTCCTCCTCTCGCTGGGGTCTCCTGGGGTCCTCCTCCTCCTCTCGCTGGGGTCGCTTGGGGTCCTGGGGTCCTCCTCCTCCTGCTGGGTCCTCCCGGGTCCTCTCCTCTCGCTGGGGTCTCCTGGGGTCCTCCTCCTCTCGCTGGGGTCTCCTGGGGTCCCTCTCTCCTCTCGCTGGGGTCTCCTGGGGTCCTCCTCTTCGCTGGGTTCCTGGGGTCCTCCTCCTCTCCGCTGGGGTCTCGCTGGGTCTCCTGGGGTCCTTCCTCCCTCTCGCTGGGTCTCGCTGGGGTCCTTCCTCTCCTCTCGCTGGGGTCTCCTGGGGTCCTCCTCCTCCTTCGCTTGGGTCTCCTGGGTCTCCTCCTCCTCTCGCTGGGGTCTCCTGGGGCGGGTTCGAGGCTCCAGGGCGCTTGGACGCTCGGGAACGTGTGTATCCTGTTGCGGGAATTGTACGTTTTTGGTATAATTTGTGTCGTGTATTTTGGGAGGAAATCTCTGTCAGTATCCTTTTGCTTCTTTTTCTTGCTTTATAGTCCTTTTTTCCCTTTTCTTCTTCTATTTTTTACTTTTTTGTAGTCTTTCTATCTTCTCTCCTCCCTCTCCCGCCTTCTCTCTTCCCATCGGCAATTCCCATTCCCTCTCTTTTACGCTCCATCTTTCGTTTCCTTTCTTCAGCGTTTCATTTTACCCTTTTACCGACCCTGGAAATTTATATCTGTCATTTACTACACTTATATTTCTCTGAAATTTACGTCCAGCTGACCTGGAGTTTTCATTTGATTAATTCAGTTCCTTTTGGTTTCTCTTTCCACTTCTCTGCCGCCGGTTCCCATTTTCTTTTCTGTTTGTGCTGATTAGTCTCCGTTTTCTTTTTCTTTCTTATTTCGCCGACCACTATTTCTTTTTCTTTTTTTTACACGACAAAAGCAAGGTTAGTGCGTTATCGAGAGAGAGAGAGAGAGAGAGAGAGAGAGAGAGAGAGAGAGAGAGAGAGAGAGAGAGAGAGAGAGAGAGAGAGAGAGAGAGAGAGAGAGAGAGGGAGAGAGAGAGAGAGAGAGAGAGAGAGAGAGAGAGAGAGAGAGAAGAGAAGAGAGAGAGAGAGAGAGAGAAGAGAGAGAAGAGAGAGAGAGAGAGAGAGAGAGAGAGAGAGAGAGAGAGAGAGAGAGAGAGAGAGAGAGAAAGAGAGAGAGAGAGAGAGAGAGAGAGAGCGAGAGAGAGAGAGAGAGAGAGAGAGAGAGAGAGAGAGAGAGAGAGACCTTTACAGCTCATGCGAGTCACTCGGCTCTATTCCCTGACTTTGAAACTATATTTTTAGACTACTCAACAAATGACTAATTGCAAACATCAAAGTAATAACACTCCCTTTTACTGTATATTTCTAGATACAAAACTCCCTCAAAAAAAAAAAAAAAAAAAAAAAAAAAAAAAAAAAAAAAAACATTTTTTTTTCAGAATCTGAATATTGGCAAATTCTTATTGGAATCTACATATCAGTCATTCCTCTTTTTTTATATATATATCAAAGATTAATCGAATATCGTTTCAAAACTAAAAAGAAGTCGACACATTTTAATAAAATGACTCTAACAGAACAGGGAATGCTTTAAAAAATATTTTCTGTATCTCTGTCTATGAACAAGAAAATGTTATTTCGGAGAGAAACAATTGCTAAACATCGCCTTCAATCTCGTCTTGTCAATCTATCTTCTGCAAAGGAAATGAAGCAAGTATAAAAATAGCTAAACAGACTGAAAGGAGGAAATTAAAACACACAAGAATAAAACTGCTGGCCTGTCAACTGCACCGCAAACAGGTACTTAATCCACGAGGCCTAATTTAACTAACTTTTAATATTTTAATAACATTTAACTATTTTTACTATTTAACTAATAATTTTAATTTTAACTATTTTTAATAATTTTAATTTAACTAATTTTAACTATTTTTAATAACACTATTTAACTATTTAACTATTATTAACTATTACTATAACTATTTCAAATGAATAAATACTGTGTGCCGGGAAAATTATGATTTAAGTTAGATTAAATGTGTGTGAATTATGATTTAAGTGATATAAAAACTCGCATACACACACACATATACTGTATGTACGTAGGTATATAATGGTATACCGTATGCTCTACGTGCGAATTCAAAAATAAGTTGTATTATAACACACACACACACAAAACACACACCACACACACACACACACACACACACACACACACACACATATATATAATATATATTTTATCGGTATATGTATAGAAGAAAGAACTGACAGCATGAAGATAAAACCTGACATGACAACCAGAAAGAACACGAAGGGAAATACGAGACCAACAAAATAAATAAACAAGAAAAGTAAAACCACCACAACATCATTTTACACCCCCCACCCCACCCCACCCACCCCACCCCCCGCAAAAAAAAAAGATAAGTATCAAAGCAAAATAATAATTTGACCAATGCCAGCCAGACCCAAGTATCCCCCCCCCCACGTCGATGTGATCAAGAAAATACATCTCCGGGGCGAATGATATCAAACTAAAGATCAAAGACGAGGATTTGTGGAGTTTTCTTGGTTTTATTGGGGAAAAAAATACGTATTTCTGGAGAGGGAGAGAGGGAGGAAGAAAGGAGACGGAGAAAGGGACTGATAACAAGAGGCAAAGGGGAGAGGAAAGAGAGAGAAGAGAGGTAGGGAGGGAAACGATAGACAGAGACATTAGAGTGAGATGAATAGATAATTAGAGAGAGGGAGGTATATAGACAGAGAGAGAGAGAGAGAGAGAGAGAGGGAGAGAAGAGAGAGAGAGAGAGAGAGAGAGAGAGAGAGAGAGAGAGAGAGAGAGAGAGAGAGAGAGAGAGAGCGAGAGAGAGAGAGAGAGAGAGAGAGAGAGAGAGAGAGAAAAGAAAGAAAGAAAGAAAGAAGAAAGAAAGAAAGAAAGAGAGAAAGAAAGAAAAAGAGAGAGACAGACAGAGAGACAGACAGACAGACAGAGAGACAGACAGACAGACAGACAGGACAGACATACAGACCGAGACAAAAATCGAGATCATAACAGCCAGGCCATATGCATGACCAAAGCGCCTTGAACTCACGACCACAAAAGCCCCGAATTATGCGCGCGCCGCAAGCAAGGTCGTGCCACCGCCAAGATCACCCGACCTGACATCCCCGTCCCCCCCCCCCGCTCAAAGGGGAAGAAAGGCATTGTCTTCGGAGCAAAACAAGCGAGCAAACAGCCAAGATCCGGGAGGCGACGTCAGCATCACGTGACCGAATTAGAACCCAGGGGGGGGGGGGGGATCGTCTTCCGCCAACGGAAAACGCCTCGAAGAAGAAGAAGAAGAAGAAGAAGAAAGATACGAAGAGCATATCCGAATCCCAAAAAAAATTTTAATCCAAGAGACGTCATAAAGCAGTAAAAAAATGGAGGGAAATAATTTCGAAGGGTGAATAACGGAATAATTTCCGTTAAGGGAAAAACCCGGCTTACGCGGATTCGACAAGTTTAAATTTTGAAAACAAATGTCCTAACAGATAGGATTTTTTTTTTTTTCCAAAACAGTACTGACACAAAATTTTATCATATTTTCTGGAATCTTGTTACAGAGTTGTTTTTAAAGTTAAACATGATCATTAAGAGAAATCCCATTCATTTCATATACTGCATCTGTACAAGCATACCATTTTTAACCAACCTCTCAACGAAATAACACAAATAAAATCGTAAACCCTGAAAAGTTAATAATAAATAAATAACCCACGAGAAAACACCGTACCTGAAAAGTTTATAAATAAATAAATAAATAAATAACCCACGAGAAGACACCGTCCCTCCCAAAACCACGCCCACCGCTAACGAACCATAAACAGCTGAGAGAAAAAAACGTAAACAAAGAAACCCACGTGATGACACCACCTCTCTTTAAGCCACGCCCCCCATTTACCCCCCCAGCCAGGCGAAACGCACAGCGCGAAGAAGCCCGGCGTCGTTTTTCCGGGCTCCTTCGCGCGCCCTTCCCCCAGCCCGGCTGCGTCTGCGTCTGCGTCTGCATCTGCGTCCTGCGTCCTGCGTCTGCGTCGCCGGGTCCTGGAGCGCGCCCGCGCCCCGGGGCAGCCGGAGGCTTCGAACCGCGTTGGCCGAATCTGGGGTGAAATGAGGCTGCTTCGAACCGCCTGCATCGCAACACGGTCGAGATGCGGGCGTGTCGAGAAGGCGGGGAGAGGGAGAGGGAGAGGGAGAGGGAGAGGGAGAGGGAGGAGGGAGAGGAGAGGGAGGGAGGAGGGGGAGGAGGGAGGGGAGGGGAGGGGGAGAAGGAGATGGAGAGGGAGAGGGAAGAGGGAGAAGGGAGAGGGAGGAGGGGGAGTGGGAGAGAGGGAGAGGGAGAGGAAGGGAGAG